TGATAACCATACCATATTTTGATAATGATACCATCACACGCTCCACTATTGTATCATTCAGTAAAAAAAAACCATTTTTTTATTCGGCTGATACTAATGACGTTCTATTTATTAATAAAAGAAGTTCTATTTATTATATTTATACTGACTTTTATTCACAACATCTATTTTCTTCTTGTTTAAAACATCTATTTTCTTCTTACACTATTATATGCTTAAGAGTATGTAATTTTTAATACTAATTACTTATAATATTAGTTTAGTTATTATTTTATATTATTAGTATCTATTATTATTCACAATAACAAGAAATTATATTATTACATTTTTTTCATGCCAGCAACATAACCAGCACACTGTCAGCATGCAAATCCAGCAGGCAAAACAGCATCGTGTGCTGCTGCTGTAACGTGATTAGTCAAGACCAGTGTCTTTAAGTAAATAGGCCTTTAACCAGCACGGCAGCCAGCATGCGAAAAATCCAGCAGACAAAAAACCATTGTGTACCGCTGACTTTATTGTGCCCATATATGTAATACTTCTATATCGCTAGTACGGTGCCGACCTGAAGCCAGAGATGCCAGTTTGCGGACGCTAGTAACATGCTCAGCAAGTAGAGGAGATACACAGACGAAACGCACACAGGTGAACAGCCGTGTAACGTGTGCGCTCAGCGCCTCGGCGAGTGGCTGCTCGTTTGTGTGCGCGTCCCCTCCACTTGCTGCTGCATGTTGCTAGCGTCTGCAAACTGGCATCTCTGCCTGAAGCCCGAACGTTACGGTGCAGACAATATAGTAGCCTCTCTCTCGCGCAAGGTCCAGCTGCTTTGTGCGCATGCGGTGAACATTCAAGCACGCTTGGGCATTTCTCTTTCTCGCGTTCTTTCTCTCACTTTCTAATGCTTTGTCTCGCTCGCACTCGCTTAGTAGACGCGCCTGCGCATAATGACGCTCGACTATCTATGCCCATATTTGAACTTCGTGCGTCTCTCTTTCTCGGGCCTCGTGTCTCTCATTGCGAAGATACGCGACTAGCGATATAGACGTATTACATACATGATTGTGCCAAAATTTTGATTAAGCATAATGAAAAACATAAAAATAAGATTGTGTATTGCATATTACCACTCATCACTGTAAAATGAAATTAATAATTTCTAGATGTTTAAACCTATGCATTATATAAAATAAAAACAAAATAGAAACAAAATAAAACGAGTAATTTTATGCCACTTTTGTGCCAATTATCATATGCTATGCTATAACAGTAAAAATTTTATTATGCTACAATTAATAGAAAAAAGTTCATTAAGCTAATTGGATTTTGCAAGCAGTAATTCTATTTTTCAAAGATATCTTTTCTGAACTCCGAAATTTCAGAAAAAAGTTTTACAAAAACTACTAAACGTTGTCTATGCACACAGTGACTTTAGTTGAAAAATTCACTTGATAACACTTCTTTTGCACAACATCCAGCAAACGGCTCTATATGACCAATTATATTTATCGACTAAGTTTAAAGACTCAAGAGCCTTGAGATGATTCTCAGTTTAATACTAATTGCTAATAAAACTTGTTTATATTTCAAAAAACTTTATTTTAATTTTTGACACACCGTCGTTGAAATATCATTCAGATACATGTAATGTGTATACCTTTTATTTTTGAGATTTACTTTGTTGAATCGACAATAATCAAAAAACTATTAAACTATCCAATGTTTTGCAGTAATAACAGCATAACGCATTTTTTGTAACTTGGAATTATCAGCGTCAAATATTCCAAACTTTAAATGCCAACATTAAGAAAATTCAATAATAAGTCAGTAATATTTTAATAATAATAATAATAATAATAATAACAACAACAACAACAACAACAACAACAACAATGCTAATAATAATAATAATAATAATGTAATGTAATGTAAACAATGACTATTTTAATAACAGTAACATTTTTTATGAAAAACTATGAGCAATATTATTATGGCGACAAATGTTTGTTATTAGCAAGACCGACTCTAAAATTGATATATTTACGTTAAAATACTGCCTAGGATTTTACAGAATATCACAAAAAACATACATACATCAATAAGATTTGTCTAATATTCGATAACACAAAACAATTTTAAAATATCACAGTTTTTACGATGTCACTGTAGCGCGCTTTTGATTCAGAGTTGCAACAAAATACTTCAACTACGTTAAACTAGCACTTAGTGTCAAAAAATCTAAAAAATTCCGAGTTTAAATAATAAGACTCTAATGTTTATAAATAATAAAATAAGCAGCTAAAATATTGATATTTTCTATAAAATAGCTTAAGCAAGTTTTATGGCGCCAATTTTTTGTTATTAGCGGGACCGTTTGTATAATTTTTATTTACGTCAAAGTAATGCCTAAATGTTTATGAATAATCATTGAAAGTATATATAATAAGATTTACCTTGTCTAATATTTGATAATACCAATAATAAGAAAAATGTTTATAATTCTAAAGGATGTGCGATATTAATAGTAGTGTACCTGCAGTTTTGATTCAAAACTGCAGGCAAAATAATTGTTTAACATTTAATGGCAACATGTACAAAAATCAATGTTGTTAAATAATAAAGCAATACTGTTTTGTAATAATATCCTAAAAAGCTGAAATAGTGATATTCTACAAAATAGCGTGAGAAATATTTTTGGCGCTAATATTTGTTATTAGCGGAACCGCTTGTATGTTATGTATTTACATCAAAGTAATGAGTAAATGTTTACAAACAATCTTTAAAAGTGTCATATCATTAAGAGTTGCTTTGTACAATATTCGATAATAACGATAAGAGACAAGAAGAGTTTAAAACACAAAAATTTATATGATATCAATATTTTTGTATAGCGTGGTTTTATGTAGAATAGCAGACAAAATAATTTTTTTAACTAGCATTTAGTTTTAACATCTGCAAAAGACGAGTTTGTTTAATAGAAAAGCACTAATATTTCTGAATAAAATGCTAAGTAACTAAAATATTTTCTACGAAATAGCTCGAGTAATTTTTATGTTGCTTAGTTTTTGTTATTAGCAGGATCGTTTGTAAAAGTTTTATTTTCTCGTCAAAGGAATTATTAAATGTTTACGAACTATTTATGAAAGTGTATGTCAATAAGATGTGCCTCATCTACTATAATTTAGGGTTATTATAAATCATTACAAATCATTGTAAAGTTTTGATACAAGTTACATAATAACCATATATATTATAAATTTAATCTTTAACGTAAGTTTTATTCAAATTTAATCTGCATTTGAATATTTATATACTGTAAATTTTAGTATATGCACGCGCGCGTTAAAGTTATAGGAGTAAAAGTTTGATGCGGTTCCGAAAGTATTCATATTATATCATACAAACAAAACCTTTAAATATGCAATATTACATACAATTTTCAAATTTTATAGTTAAAATAATGATCTCAATAAAATAATTTTGTGTCAAATTAATAGGTAAGTTCTATTTTTAGTTATATTAATAGGTAAGTTATATTTTCACAGTTTAAAAGATAACATATGTATGGTCCCGAAAACATCCATATTATTACTGCATGTGTCCCGAAAATATACATGTTATATCTGGATTATTAAAATACTCAATATTTAAAAAAAAAGCTATTGTGCATATACAAGAGGACACGAAAAAGTAAATATATAAGTATTTAATCTGAGGATACCTTGCTTTTGATCAAACTGGAAGAAATTTTATATTTTTATTACATTTTAGTTTTTTATAGATAAAATGTATACTTCCAGGTCGGACCTGGAAATGTCGGACATGAGACTGAAAAACTATGCCAGGTCCGACCTGGCAATAGCTAAAGGTTAGGTCCGTGTCCCGGAAGTATACAGTTTATTATCTAAAAGGTCTCTGCAACATTCCTCAGATATACAGGATGTCCCAGAATTAGTTTAACATCTCTCGTAGGCAGGTAGAAGGAATAAAACTGAGGTGAAAAGTCCTATCATTTTGCTAGATTCGCAATAGTTACTGAGATTTTAATTAACAAAGATCCGCGAATAAGCATGCATCGGGCTGTCTTACGCGCGTAAGATTGCCCGCCGCGCTTCGCGCGCTAACAGTGTTACCCATAGCGACATATGGGAGGAGCTAATATAACAGCATATACTATAACATATACATATTAAAATGTAATTGTGTGAAGCGCGCCGGGCTGTCCTACGCGCGTAAGACAGCCCGATGCACGCTTATTCGTAAATCTTTGTTAATTAAAATCTCGGTAACTATTGCAAATCTAGCAAAATGGTATAAGACTTTTTACCTCAGTTTTATACCTTCTACCTGTCTACGAGAGATGTTAAACCAATTCTGGGACACCCTGTATATATA